TAGAATTGAAGGAGTGCTACATCATGCTCAGTATACTGTCAGTTTAAAGAAAACAAGTATTTGCTCTGTTTAAACTAATGCCAAGGACATGTTAGCTAGATGCATAAGGGAAGAAGTTTTTGAGTATGCTATTGGTAACTGACTACAGTGCCTCAAACCTACTAGGCAAGTGCTCTACCACAGAGTCACATCTCTAGCCCCGAGGCATGATATAAATAGGGAGTTTCATAAAAGCCAGGTTCACTGTTTCTCTTTCTTTTCAGCTCACCTGAAGAAATCTCTGCATGTGCTCAAGTAACTCATCAAAAGGCTGAGGAGATCTACAGATATATTCACTATACATTTGACATACAAATGCTACCAAGTGATCTTAACCAGGAGACTGTGAAATCTAATGCATGCTCAGTACTTAAAGTGTGATTATGAAAGAACTCTCACAATACGAATATACTTAATAATTACTGTAGTTTGTGATTACCAATTTAAATATGTAAATATTCCATCTCTTAAAGGTGTCTCTATATATTGTATACTGTATTTATGGACTATATAATTTATTTTTAAAAGGAAACCTTTGGTGTTCCATAATCATTTTGACTAAATTGTGAAACAACTTTTTATTGAATAAATCAAGGCTGTATGAAGTGTTGTTCTGACTGGCTTAAACATCTAAGAAAGCAAGCCAAGAGGCTGGGAGATGATCAGCTGCTTAAGTTCTAGCTGTACAAACCTAAGGACTTGATAACCTGAGTTCTTCCCCAATATCCATGTAAAGGCCAGATACACTGGTGCACACCTGGAGTCACAGGGCTGGGGAATTTAGAGACTGGAGGATATTGGGAGCTTGCTAACCAGTATGGCAGAATTGGTGAGCTCCAGGTTCAGTGGAAGACTCTGTCTCACAAATGAGGTGAAGAATGATAAATGGGACATGCCTTTAATCCCAGCACTGGGGAGGCAGATGCAGGTGGTTCCTGATCTACAGAGTGAGTTCCAGGACTGCTAGGGCTACACAGAAAAAAACCTGTCAATAAAAAGGAAAAACAAGGGGGCTGGAGAGATGGTTCAGAGGTTAAGAGCACTGGCTGCTCTTCCAGAGGTCCTGAGTTCAATTCCCAGCAACCACATGGTGGCTCACAACCATCTGTAATGAGATTGGTGCCCTCTTCTGGCCTGTGGACATACATGCAGACAGAACACTGTATGCATAATAAGTAAATAAATCTAAAAAAAAAAAAAAGATAACCTTAAAAAAAAAAAAGGAAAAACAAAAAAACCCAGTAACAAAAGACATCCCATGTCGATCTCTGGCCACCACATATATACATGCTTGCCTGTGTGTACACATCTGTATACATACACAGAGAAGATGAGTATGATGATTCTGGTGATACATGCCATGAGTATGAGGCTAACCTTGGCTACAAACAAGACCCTGTCTCAAAAATCTAAACAAATAAAAGCAAAATACATTTGGAATTCATTCAAGCGTGAGTACTATGATTTATTAGCATAACAGTATTTATAACTGGTAAAAACTTATACTGCATATGAATTGTAATATTTAAGTGTACTAAATCGAGGACCTTAGGAGATGTCTCAGAGGTTAAGAGCACACACTGGTCTTGCAGACTCAGCACCCCCACCAGGTGGCTCACAAATGTGGAACTCCAGCTTTGGTGTATCCAATGTCCTTGGGCAATGCACTCACATGTGTATACACACACACATTAAAAAGAAATGTTAAGTCTAAATATATACCAAGTAAAATGTATGTTGTAAAACAAATGATTGACCAATTAAGATCAAATATTTAGTCAACTATATAATTTCCACCAAATGTATCCAAGTACAGTTCAATGTTTTAACATGAACTTTTAACTCATTGTCTTATGCTATATATATCTTAAGATGGCTCTGTTTCAGTCTTCAATGTGAGACTGTTTCTTCTGTTAGTGGCTTTCCTCGCCTCCATTCTTTCTCCTGTTGAGCAGTTGAACCAGTCACAAGAGAGCTTTCCTAATCTTACACATGACAGGAACTTCACACACATCTAATTCAGCATGCGTTTTGTTTCCCATTGGATCATTTAAAAAAATGAGGTCTTGAAACAAATACCTTGTTCATATTTACAATGACGAATTTAGAAACAAAACCCAGGAAAAAACTTTTTACAAAAGTTACTTAATTCTGAATTTCAGTCATCTGAAATAATTTTAAAACCTGATATCCTAAAATGCCACTGACCTCTTATTTGCTGTTCAAAAGTATGTTAAAACTAGCGAGAAAGTATTAAAAAATATTGGCCAGCATGCAATGAGCAATTACTTCAAATCCAAATCCACACTGCTTATTGATTCAGTGTAGGCTTAAAAAAATATTGCTAGCTGTAAAGCAAGTTTAGTGCCTTCTAAAACACTACTTACTAACCTCAACCAGCAAAGCATTACATTAAAGATTGACAGCTCAAATTCCATTCTGTTTAGGGGGACTCTAAAAGATCCTTTCTTTTCTTCTACAACTACCAACACCCGCTGTTTATTGCTGGCCATTTGGGGAGGGGTAATATTGGGGATGGAACCTGGCACTTTCTGGCCCCTAGACAAGTGTTCTAAATGCTATGTCCAGCTCCTCCTACCACTTAAAAACTTATTTTTTTATATTTTGAAAGCATCTTTATTAGTTTCTCTTTTTAACTGAGTGCAGATTCTATCTCCTAGAGCTGGATAAAATATCAGGTAGCTATATATTGTCTAATATAGGTGCAGGGCACCAAATTCATGTCCTCAACAAGTGCAGCCAGTACTCTTGATTGCTGAACCATCTCTTGACCCCCTTAATTTTGTGTGTAAAACAGGGTCTTACTAACTTGTCTAGATTGGTCTCATACTTGTAGTTCCTCTCACCTATTTGCTGAGTAGCTGAAACATGACTGAAACAGAGCTAGCTGATAGGGAAGTTCTGTGTAGACGTTTGTCTTATTGGTTGATGAATAAAGCACTGTTGGCCAGTAAGGAAGCAAGATAAGTGGAACTAGGAGTCGAGGATTCTGGAAAATACAGTAAAGAGGTTGCCGTATGATCCGGGCAGGAAGTGATGTAGCAAGAATAAGCAGGAAATCGCTCTCTCCTCTGTCTTTTCTGCGGAGAAGCTGAGCAGACACAATGTAGACCCCAAAGGAATTAAGGGGCCCAGACCTTTCCTCTGGTAAGATAAGGCCATGATGAAATATATATATTAGTAATTATGGGTTATGAATAAGCAGCCCAAGTCACCAACCAACAGCTTATAATTAATATAGTGTCTGTGTTTCTTTGGGTCAGAGAAGGGCCGAGAAAAAACTCACATTATAGCTAGCTACAGGCTTACTGCAAAAGCCTGCTCTACATATTGAGTTCCAGGTCAGCCAGGATACATAGGGAGACCCTGCCTTGGTGAGAAGAGAGACCAAAAGAAAGAGGATGGATGAATGAACGATTTTGTGCTATATGTTCTAGAGTGTTTTGTTTTGGGAAACTTAAGAGGGAACAGTAACTGTAAGGCCCTCCAGGATCAAGAGCGGCAAGGCTCCACTCATGAGGACCTCCAAAGCCATGTTCCACTCTAAAGACCATAATGCTGGACCCAGCCCCTCCAGATACAGGCAACCAAGCTCCACTCTACTGAGTAAAAAGCCCAAGCTCAAGACTTGAAATCCCACCAATTCCACACTCTGAAAGTCTCCACCTTCTGGAAATCCTATATAAACCCTTTCTTCTGTTATGTTCTCTGCTGCTTGCCCAAGTAGAGGCAGCCACCTTCTGTTGCAGGTGACCCTGTTTGGACACCACTTGGGGTAGGGGGTGGGAAGACAAAGTACCAAAGACACAGTCCCTGGGATTGGGTAGCAGAGAGTGCTGTTTATTAAGGAAGTTTCGTCTGCCTTTATATTCTCTCCCAAGGTCCTGTTGGCTCAGGCAGCCGACTCTGCTGCCTTGTCCTTTCCTCATTGGTGTCTCCAATCAGTGTCTCTTTGCCAGAAGTGTTTGGGCACAGCGGCAGCCTTGGCACAGGGAGGAAGTGTTTGCCATGCATGCTCATTCAGGCTGGCCTGGGCACCTGCATTTTGGTAGGCTGAGGCAGTTTCTTCTATACAACCTTCCTGAGTTTTTCCTTCCCAAAAGATCTCATGTGAGGTTTGTTGTATGGTGTGATTTTGTGGTACTCCTTGGCTCCAGTCTGCCAGGTACCCTTTCTGTCCAAGCTTTAACATACGCATTGGGAAAACCTTCCTCTTCAGAGCTTTAACACTTACAATAACAAAATACATTCTTTAACTGATTAAATAGTTCAAAAAGAAAAAAAATCCAGAAAAATACTAAACATATTTAAAATTTTATTTGAATTGTCTAACTGGATGCAAAGGATACATGAATATGTAATGTAACCCGGGGACAAATAACTTATTTCAAACTTTAAAACAATGGCAGAATAAAAGATGCTTTCTAAAGGAGCTATCAGAAAGGGAAAACCTGGTTATTATGGCACAGTAATTCCTTATAATGGTTGGTGGATCTACCAACTATACATAACACGACTGCAGAATACAACAGAAGCTGTCCTCTGGTTCCTTTTACAAAATAATAAAGAACAATGAATTAGAGAAAGGTTTCACAACTAGAACACGTATAATAAATTTTAAGAAAAACTATTAGAAGAAGAAAACATGTAGAACATAAAAAACATAAAACAATCTGAATAACATAATTTAAATAGTCAATGAACTCTGGCTTATAATACCAGGTGGCAAGATGCCACAAGTTTTCATCCTAGTGTGCACCAATACAAACTCTAACTCCAGCCCCTTCTCTCTCCTGACTTCAGTGTTTTTAAAAATTTATCTAAAAACCTATTTGAGACATGATTACCAACATACACGGACTTGGGTTTGGGTCTTCTAGCAACTTAAGTTTTACATACCTTCCTATTACAAAAATAAAACAAATACATACACAGGCAAAGCAGTTTGACTTGTGTTTTATTGCAACACTAAGGAATGTTCTATAGGATGTTAACCTTGTACACAAACATAAGACATCTTTGGGAAACAAATCTGCATTCCCTTATTACAAGGAAAATACCCATTCGTCAAATAAGAATACCAGTATGCTCTGACTGATGATAAAAATCCTACAAATTGTATTTACTATCAGTCAGAATTTGAAAAATAATAATCTTGCTCTTCTTCGTCTGATTCTGTGGCGTCAACGAAATACTTTGCAATAGCAGTGTTTTCACCTATATCTGTAAAGACAAATTTTATGAAAAGGATTAATATATTTCTGGTAATTTTAAAAGAACTGAAAGCAACTCCAATGAACTTAATGGTAGCTATGTCTACTTGAGAACCAGTTAATTTTAATACCATCAAAGAGAGATCTTAGTGTAATGGAACTAAGCTACAAAATAAAGAAATGCAATACCTTTGTTAAACAGGGCTTTTCGTATTGTTGTTGGAGATGAGAAATCATTTTCAACCTATAAAAGAGTATATGTTAGTAGCAAAATTGTATCTCTTGTGATGAGGGAATTGACTAGATAGTACAGTCCTAGAAAAAAATCAAGTATGCTTAATCTTCAGAGTACTGTGAACATAGGCCTGTTATATCACTTTCAGTCTAAAGTGATATAACTAGAGCAACCACATTCTTGAGTTTATGCAGAACAAAATCCATAACTTAGTTTCTCACTGCTGGCAAATATTTACATCTATAAGAAAATATAAACTGAGCCGAGCATTGGTGGCACATGCCTTTAATCCCAGCACTCGGGAGGCAGAGGCAGGCGGTTCTCTGTGAGTTCGAGGCCAGCCTGGTCTACAAAGTGAGTTCCAGGACAGCCTCCAAAGCTACAGAGAAACCCTGTCTCAAAAAACCAAAAAAAAAAAAAAAAAAGAAAATATAAACTAATGCTACAGAAGGCAAAGAATGGTCTATAGCCTATAAACGTTGCCCAAATGTACTCATTACTTATCTTGGATAGAATATTTTATTATTATCCTTGTGAGGTAAGACATCATTTATTTCTCATAACCACTCAGTAACAAGCCATTGTCATTATCTAAATATGTATAAATTAGAAAAGTCTAGTCACTTTGTGTAATGAGGTCACTGATAATTAGACCTTGAAAGGAGTAATTTGAACACAAAATTCTTGGCTCTTACTACACTAACACACTAGCTACAAATACCAGACTATGAAAAGAATTAGGTAAATCACAATTTTGTATACTGCATAATTTGAACATATTAAGAAAAACATCCAAATAGGCATATTGGTGGGTGCCTTTAATCCCAACACTTGGGTTGCAGAGGCAGGCGGATCTCTGAGTTATCTGAGTGTGAGGTCACTCTGGACTACAAAGGGAGTTCCTGGACAGCCAGGGCTACACAGCTATGTAGCCCTACCATGTCTCAAGACAATAACAGCAAAAAAACAAAAAAGGAAAGAAAAAGAAATATGCGTTTTAATAGGAAAGACCCAACAATATATCACAATTTACATTTCTGAAAACAATCAAGTATATTAGTTTGCTGGGCTGATCCATGCTCCATGAATCAACAGAATGGACATCACCTGGGATTATTAAAAAATGTAAATTTCTCAAGACTACTGTATCAGAATCTTGACTTTAACAGGCTCCTTAAGAGACACTTACTCAAGGTACTTTATGAACAAAAACAACCAAAAAAAAGAAACAGACTAGAAATCTAATCTTTGAATTCCTGTTTCAAGGATTCCTAACAATGCTAATTTCAGGGTATTTTGCAAGAGCCAAATTTTCATTCTCATTAAGGAATAAGAAGATGGAAAGAAACCAAGTATCTGAAGATTGCTGAGAAGTAGTCTGCTAAGTTATGAAATGGATTTTAAGAAATGAGCCACTAGACTAATTTTAAACCAAGGTCTACCATGAAGCATTATTTACTATTTCTTGTGGCTAAGTCCATGAAGACAGATGATTATATAACCCAATGTAAGAAGAATTTTACTTAAGTAAATCTGGAGTATAAAGACTTTAAAGACAGAAGAGAAGGCCATATGTAGCCTGAAGAATTACTTTACTAAATAAGTAATCTCACAGTTCATCTATGTAAATTATTCTCCAATATTAGCTATTTTAAAAAAATTGTAGGTAAATGACCTTTTCTAGAATCTAAATACTTGGTTATCTATTACAAAAACATTCAGAAATTTAAATTTTAAAAACTTGAAGTTAAAAATTTTAAAGGCAATGCAATGAGATAAGAGTGTGGAAAAAGATCCCAAATTAGAAAAAACAAGGGTATAATAGAAGGTTTGGAGGGAAGAAAGGAGAAGGGAAATGATGTAATTACATTATAATCTCAAAAAAAAAAGGTTTTAAAAAGACTTGTTTTTTGAGACCACAGACTCCTGACTGCAACTCCTGATCCTCTAGTTTCCACCTCCCAAGTGCCAAGCGCTGGGATTGTAGGTCTGCACCATCAGTCCCAGGTAAGGTGTGTACTTTTGAAATGTCCTTTCTGGCCTGGTTATTTTCCAACTAGTTTCCAAATGAGAACTTTTAGCCATTCTCATCTTGGGAGCTGTCATCTATAATTCTACAGTGTTTATGTACTTACTTCCCTAATAGCTTCATATTAGAGGGCAGAGACTGTTAGACAATTTATAACTACCAGAATTTAACAAGTATTATAACTTTTCTACATAAAAGTGTTGAACAAATAAAAATATACTTACTGCTTTTTTCCTAATGTTGCCCCAGGCAAGGCCACCATTACGCTTGCCAAATTTTTTAGCATTTTTTTGCATATGGAAAACATATTTATCATAATCATCACTGTATGAATACAAAATAATATCAAGATGTCAAATGAGCATTATCATAATTTTATCCATAGCAATAAAAATCTAAAATGTACTTAACTTCTCTCAAAAGAATATTCTAGGAAATTACAATTTGCTTATTAGTCACTATCCCATTATGGTGGTTTGAATAAGAATGGCCCCCATAGGCTCATATATTTGAATGTTTAGTTATTAGGGAGTGGTACTACATGAGAAGGATTAGGAAGTGTGGCCTTGTTGGAGGAAATATGTTACTGGGTGTAGGTTTTGAGGTTTCAAAAGCCTAAGGCAGTCCCAGTGTATTTCTTTTCCTGCTGCCTGCATGCTCCCAGCATGATGATAATGGACTAAATCTCTGGAACTGTAAGCAAGCCCCAGTTAAATGCTTTCTTTTCTAAGAGTTGCTCTAATCATGGAGTCTCTTCACAGCAACTGAACAATAACTACGACATCCATATAGTTTTATTGCTAAAATTCCTGACTCTGGTATTTTTCCTGTTTGTTTTCATTAATCTAAATCAGGTATCACAGTTGATCACTTCCAGGCTATGATGTACAAAAACTTATCACTTTACACCTTCCAATTCTATCAAGTTTCCAATCCAACGTAAGTCTTTTCTCTCTAATTGTGTTGCTTGCGTTCTCTATACGCACTGTGAAGAATCTAGTTTAGCAAAGATGACTCATCTGTAACCCACAGACAAAAGCTAAAGTCAAACAGATGGCTATTTGCATCCTCTCCTTTGGCATCAAGATCTCATATGTATGATCTATTAGGTTTTTTTCTTATTGACGATTTTGGAGCAGCTTCAAAGATATGACATGTATGATATGTATCTTAATCACAAACATTGCTGTGCAAATGAATAAACCAACCAGCTACTAGTATACTGCTTAGTAAATGATAGGTCTACACAGATTAGCACCCTATAGTAGACCTGTAGTTTACTTTCCAAATGATTGTTTTATAAACAAAATTTAAGATTTCACTGTTAAATTTTTAAAATTGTCATAAAAAGAAACCATATAATACTACACCCCCTTTCAAATTTTGAGACAGTGTCTTACTATGTAGCCCTGAGGTTCTCAAACTCTGATCTGTTTGTCTAACATCAAAGAGCTGGGATCACAGTCATGCACCACCAAGCTCAGCAAGCTAACTTCTTGCATACTTGAACACTGAGAAACACTGAAATAAGATTCCTGGGTCAAAGTTCATAGTTTAGTTTTAATCATGAGTGCATTGCTTATCGAGGCTAGAAGACGTAGTCAAACTCCTAGAACTGCCTGACCTGGGTGCTAGGAACCTAATAAAGGTCCTCTGTAAGAACACTAAGTGCTCTTTACCACTGAGCCATTTCTCCAGACCAAGCATAACATTCTTCTCCCTGTTTTTATATTGCTTATAGTGATTGGTAGCAAGTAAAACATAAAATTATTAATCTTTTCCTTAGTGATTTCTGGGTTTTGTATTTTCATTGAAAACATCATTAACCTGACAGTATAATACCACAAAGATTCAGTAGGTTTTTTTTTATATTTTAAATTTTTCAAGTAAAATTAATGTTTCTAATATTATATACTGATTATATCCCTTAATTTGCTGAAACTATCCATCCTAAACTTTTAGAAGTATCTATTTTTCATTTTTTAAAAAATGATAACTCTATCCCTTAGTGCATTTATGTTTATCAATTCACAAAATATTTTGATATTCTTGAATGAACTAAAAAATTAACATCACCTTTTTATTTACCTTTTTACAGAGGCTAGCATACCCGGACTGACATGCTGACATTGTGGAGTGTCTGTCAACGGGAAAGTAATTGATAATGGAGATGCTGGATTCCTGTCCATATCTAGCAGAAAATCATCATCTTGACTGTATTGAAAGCTCGGCAACTAGAAAACAAATATTTTCACCACACACTCATCACAAAATAATTTTGTGAATTTAAAAATAGTGAAGCACAGAATATTCACTACAAAGACAAATTTCTCTTGTGAAAAATCCAATGACACCTGTTACTAAAGGCTATGGAGAGCAGAGGTGTTCAATATTTTCTAAATATCATTCAAGCTTTTTATATAATTACATAGTCTTTCCCAATTCCTTAAGCTTCTTATCGAAGTATTAAAGCTATAATATGAAAACAAATGAGTAGGGTTGTGTTCCAATAAAGCTTTGTTTATAAAAACAGGTAAAAGGTCTAACAAAATGGCCCAGCCAGTAAAGGCCCCTTTGAAGCCAAATGACCTGAGTTTAATCCCTGGGCCCATGCCAGAGCCTAGGGCCTGGCACGTGTAACCACAAAGCAACATCCCTAGTCCCTTATGTTGGTGGAAGGAGAGAACTGACTCCATACATAAAACTGTTCCCTACTTACACATGCACACCATGCATGCATAATTCTTTTTTAATTAATTGCTTTTTTTTAATTTAAAATAGGTCAGATGCTAGATTTGGTTCCAAAGTTGATGAATTTACATGTTACTAGAACAAAACTTAAATTCATTCACTTTTGTTTAGGCACTTACTGGCAACTCAACTAGTTTTACATTTTTATATATGTATTATTTCCAATAACCAATTCAATTCTTAAGATTTTACTTACCTTTACAGTAAAATCATAAAGTGAACAGGCATGGCCATAATCAATCAGGCGATTGAAGCAGAAAGATATGAATTCAAGGCCAGCCTGGCAGTATATATAAGACCATGCTTCAAAAAAGGAAGGGAGGAAAAAAATTAAAAAACCCACAGAAAGTAAACTTATGGCACAGAAAAATAAACTAACTGCTATCTATTTCTCTCTTGTCTTCAGTTGGTTGTTTTGAGTTGGGATTCCCTTGGCTATTCTGGGTTTTTTGTTTCTACATGAATTTTGTGATTTTTCCCCCGCAATTCAATGATGAATGTCATTTTGAACAGTATGGATATTTTAACAATATTAATTCTTCTAATGTACAAACATCTTTCCATTTATGAGTGCCCTCAATGTTTTTTTTTATTTTAGGTTTTTTTCAAGACAGGGTTTCTCTGTATTGTTTTGGAGGCTGTCCTGGAACTTGCTCTGTAGACCAGGCTGGCCTTGAACTCAGATATCTGCCTGCCTCTGCCACCCGAGTGCTGGGATTAAAGGATGTGCACCACCAACACCCAGCTCAATATTTTCTTTTTAAATCAGTTATTTTTTCTTTTTCTGAAATCAATCTTATTGTGGAGCTTCTTCCCTCACTTGATTAAATTTCTTCCGATGTCTTTTGTTTTTTTAATTTTTTTTCAACCAGTTCACTCAGGACATAATAAATGCTACTGCTTTTGTAAATGCAGGTTTGGTGATAATAGGAAATAAAACACAGGGTCTGGCATGTGTAACCACTAAGCAACAATCCCTAGCGCCTTATGTTAGCTTTAGATCCTGCAATTGTGCTTCATTTCTTTAGTTTTGAGGAGTCTTTCTACGTACAAGATCAGTTTTTAGGACTCATCCCATCTAGCCTTATGTACATTCTTCTTGAGATTAAGCAGACTAATTATATTATACAGACCCCAAAGCACAAAACAATTCATTTGTTATATAAGAGATTCTTAAACTATCACAGCACAGCTGCACTGCTTGTCTCCTGTAGTTCAGGGCCCTGTCTGGGTTCTGCAGCAACACTTGCAGTGCTGGGACTAGTTGGTTTACTGAGATGAGCCCCCCTCCCTCCCATTACAGTACACTGACATCTGTGAGGGCCCAGAGAGCTTCTAAGTCTAAGCTTTCAAAGTGCAGTTGTCTACCCAGTTGCTTTACTTACTCTTTGTGAAAGAAAAATGAATGTCATCTATCTTGTAATGTCCCTGGCCCATCTCTTCATTTTGGATTAAACACTCAAGAGCAGACTCTAAAAATTGATAAGGACAGCATATACCAGCAGATCTTTTCCTGTACTTGGTTCACATGTAAAGACTACACAGATCCTTGACTTAAATATTAGTGGTAAACACTAACAACATATAAAAGTGGAAAACATCAAAATCAATATAAAAATGCAGATTTCATGCATTAGCACTTACCAGTACTCTTTGTTTCTGCAAGGGTGTTGCAGTGAAAAAATCATCATGGTTATCTTTTGGCAACTGCTCCAGACAATCCCTCATTTGTCGTTTCCTTTTAAGAGTTCCCACTCCAGCAGTGATCTTAATAGTCTTTTTCTCATCAGCATTGTCTTTCTTATCTAAGAGTTAATGAAACATTTTGATAATGACCTGGTAATTTTACCTGCTTTATAAACTAAAGGTATCTCTTACTCTGTTTCTTACAGAACAAGTAATTTTTAAATACATTTAAAATTTTTTATTTTATTTTATGCGTTCTTTGCCTTCACGTGAGTATGTGCACCACATGCATACTTGGTGCCTATGAAGGTCAGGGGAGCACTGGACCCTCTGGAACTGGCATTATGGGTGGGGCGAGCCACCATTTGAGTTGCTGAGATCCAAACCTAAGAACGATTTAATGCCCGTCTGTTTCCTCATACAGACTCAGGGTGGGCCAACAAGATGACTCAGCAGGTAAGGGCAGCTTCCTCCAAGCATGACAACCTGAGTTCAATCCATGGGACCTGCACAGTGAAAGAGAGCCAACTGCCTAAAGTTGTCCTCTGACCTTTATGCTGCTCATGCCGTGGCACCCACCCCAACAAGCACACAAACATATACACGCGCACATACACATATAAACTGATTGGTAAAAAATCAAATTAAGGGGCTAGAGAAATGGCTCAGAGGTTAAGAGTATTGGCTGTTCTTCCAGAGGTCCTGAGTTCAATTCCCAGCACCCACATGGTGGCTCACAACCATCTGTAATGAGATCTGGTGCCCTCTTCTGGCCTGCAGGGATACATGCAGTCAGAACACTATACATAATAAATAAATAAATCTTAAAAAAAAAAGTAGGAGGCAGCCTCCCATCTAAAACTTTTACTCCTGAACCCAAACCCCTAACAAAGCTCAGTAGGCACAGCTTAGACAAAACAACAACAACAAAGTGTGGTAGCCTTAGAAACATGGCACCTTGACACATGTCCCTAGTCCAGCTACTTGCGAGGCTCTCTTTAGCTCAATCTGGACAACAAACCAAGACCTTTGCCCTTCCAACAAATAAATATCACAAGGTGCTCTGTGGTATTTTTTGTTTGTTTGTTTGTGTCTCAGCTTCTTTTTTTTTTTTTTTTTGGTTTTTCGAGACATGGTTTCTCTGTATTGTTCTGGAGGCTGTCCTGGAACTTGCTCTGTAGACCAGGCTGGCCTCTGCCTCCCGAGTGCTGGGATTAAAGGCATGCACCACCAACGCCTGGCAGTGTCTCAGGTTCTTGACCTGTTCAATTATTGCTGGGCATAGGCAGATAAAAAAGCTCATGGTCACATATTGGCTATGTCTGGTAATGAAAACATCACAAATAATTCTTCTTACATTGAGATGAATGCTATTATTAGTTCATGTGATATTCCTAGGGAGTACACAAAGACTAGAGAGTAGGTTAAAAATGTTAGGAGCCAAAGTGATCTACATAGTATGTTCCAGAATAGCCAGGGTGGTGGTGATAGCCCAGCAGTGGTGGCACACACCTTTAATCCCAGCACTTGGGAGGCAGAGGCAGATGGATCTCTGTGAGTTTGAGGCCAGCATTGTCTACAGAGTAAGTTCCATGATTGCCAAGGCTAGATAGGGAAATACTGCCTTGGAAAAAATAAAAAACAACCCACACCCAATAAAGTTACTCTGTGAGATAGACTTGACTTATTAATCAATATTATGCAAGCACATTAGGTACTCTCTAAAGCTTACTATGGGACTTCGAGGCAGGAATGAATCTTAGATTACAAAAACAAAATTTACTGGTCTTTCATAAAGTATGCTAGGGACTGTAAGCAAATGCTCAAGTTAAATTATACCCTCAGATATTGAAATATTTATCCAACTTCAAACTTATTAGAACAAATTCTGAGCAAAAGGCTACTAAATTATTAATGGTAGAATTAACTACATTGGTTAAGGCTTAAAATATTTCAAGTTCTTTCTAGTTTTTAAACTTTGAAGTGAACAACTGATACAAGATTCACAAATAAATATAAACTATAATTCGTAAGCACTTAGAAGTGAACACTAAACACTCTGAGAAAACAATGATTAAAATTACCATTTTGGACCTGTTTGGCTTGTTTTTTCTTCGAGACATGCTTTTGGGATCTTTTGCCTTGGGTATCTTCTATGTATTTCCTCTGGCATTCATCAGCAGTTCGAGAACCTACTGCCATAGCTACATCTGACCAAAAACCAGGCTTGTGCTTTGGAAGAGATGTAAAAGCACTATGGGAGACCAAAACCAGTTAAGAACAAAAAAAATTCAAGTCAATAAAAACAATCTCCTGAGAGCATAGTGAGTCGGTGATATTTACCAAGCTAAAGGACCATTTTTAAACCACAGTCATTCTGGATAACTAGTCAGAAAAAGATACAAATCTCTCTCTATTCCATAACTTTCTTATTATAATGTAAATATAACATGAAGAAGACATAACTGTACCTGTCTAGTAAAATGCTTGAAAACTATTTCTATTAAATATGAAAGCTTTCAACACTCCCCACCCCAAAGTTCAACTATTCAATGATTTGATCTTTGAGGGAATTCTGGCATAAATTAACTTCTATTTATTGTTTACCAAGTGTTATTAGTGCTAAATCTGCCAGATGGACTCCTAGTTCTTACACAGTTTTATGGTTAGGGATGAATGGTCATGGTCATACATGATCATTGCATGACATGTGCTTACATGGAAATATCACACATTAAAAACACAACTGATGTTTTAATACTACTATTAATAAAAAATGAAGCTGGAACACCTGTAATCCCAGCACTAGGGAAAAGTGAGGCAGACAATCAAAAGTTTAAGGAAAGTAAAAATATGTTTCAAAAACTAACAAGATATAAATGCAAGGTGGTTCCAATTCAACCTATAAATGAGACTCTGAAAGCTCATTTGCAAATAACTGTTTAAAATGTACCCTACTATTCCTACTCCCCTACACTCTCATCAAGACTATGTTGTGGTTAAGGTCATAGTTCAGCCAGATAGTAACTAATTCAGTCAATCACCCTAAAACGATGCAGGGTTAATACCCCTTACCTCAGATACTTAAGACTTAAGACCCACTGTTGCAGAATTTAGACACATATACAATACCTTGGATGGGATTCAGTCAGAACATGAAATTAATTCATGTTCATGTATACCTTCTACATACAGATCACAGGTGATTATAGTTTTGTTGGCAGCCAGGAAGCATTCTACCATTAAGCCATATCAACCTCTAGAAGATAATTTCATACAGTCATTTTAATGCCACTTATGTTCTGACTGTGATTCATCATCATAAGAGGTTAAGCACAGAATTTTCCACTAGTGTTACTTGTTGGCACAAAGTATCTTAGATTTTGGAGCTTTCAGATTAGAGATAATATATTACTCCAACTATATCAAGTTTCCTAGCAGTGTATAAAGCTATTGACAAATCTAGGACTGCTTATATTCTAAAATAACTATTTTTTATTAAAAATAATTCTTAATGCATTTAATAAGTCAGTAATTATCAATAACTTCCAGATTGCCGGGCGGTGGTGGCGCACGCCTTTAATCCCAGCACTCGGGAGGCAGAGGCAGGCGGATCTCTGTGAGTTCGAGGCCAGGCTGGACCGATAGCCTCCAAAAAAAACAAATACAGAGAAACCCTGTCTCGTAAAACCAAAAAAAAAAAAAAAAAACAAAAAACAAAAAACTTCCAGATTATTCCAGGTAAAGTAATAAAGAAAATTGAATATGTAATCAAAGCTCATTAAAGCCCCTGCTATAACTTATGGCGATACCCTAACTGACATTAGTCTGTCATGTTTGCTACTATCTTTTGAGGAGTGAAGAGTTAGCTGAATGGTTGAATGCTTGCCTAACATAAAGAAGGCTTTGAGTCTGATCCCCAACACTGGGTGGGGAGGGTGGGAGGGAGGGAGGGAGGAGGGAGAGAGGAGGGAGGGATTTAAAAAATCCCTCTTTAGATGTCTTGAAATATAAAACAAAGACTAAGAAGCTATACTATAAGGAAATGATGAGAGCTAATCTAGAAAAGGTAAAATTGTTAACATGGTCTGCTTTTGATCTAAAGCAGAAGAATATAAAACATGAAGCTATAAATTAGTGCAATGAAAATTTCCGATTTTCTTAATTTGTCCATATATGTTGTCCTATCTCTTTAATCTTCCCATTTAGGCTTCATAACACAATTATGGTCTAGTTTCATTGCTACCACAGTACTGAAACCCTTAAGTCTCTGTACTCAAATTCATTCTTTTCTTAAAATTTTTTGAGTATGAGTGTTTTGCCTGCATCTATGTTTATGCAAAGAGGCCAGGAAAGCATCAGACTCCCTGAAACTGGAGTTACAGAAGGCTGAGAATCACCATGTAGAAGGCTGGGAATCAAACCAGGTCCTGTGGAAGAGCAGCCAGTGCTCTTGACTGCAGAGTCATCTCTCCAGCCAAATTTAAATTCAATTCTTTAAAAATGTTGAGACAGGGTTTCTCTTTGGAAATCCGCCTGCCTCTGCCTCTGGAGTAAATCCTACCGGCGTACGCCACCACAACGCCGGCTTTTGTATTTATTTACCACTTTGCCGTTTCATTTTCTCTCTCAATCTCACGTATATTTTTAAACACACTGTAAACCTTTAGAGGTTTGTTCATCCAAGTCTGACTTTACTGTAAACCTTTACGTTTTTTTCTGGCCACGTGTCTTATCTGTTAAAACCGCGGCTGTTTTAAACTGCTGCCTTCCAAGATGGCGGGCGAAAGCGTGATTCCAGCTTACCGCCTCAGTCCATGCTGACCTCCAGCAAAAGCTGCCACTTCCAACTGTATGTACACACCTTTTAATCATTAGCAGAGTCTCTTAAAACAATCTTGTTTTTTTTTTTTTTTCTTTTTTCTTTTTATGCCGAGTCAGGAAGACTCCGGTAAGCGAGCCAGGTGAATCTCGGCTTGTCACTAGCAAAACAGAGCACACCTGAGAAAATTGCTGCTACCAAAATCTGTGCTTCTCTCTGTTCTTCCGTTTCTAAAATTCCTTTAAATCTTTTGTTATTTTGCGTGAAAATTCAATCCCACTCCTGACACCATTATGTATAGAGAAGCTTTTTCTTTGCTAGCCACTTTGGTTTATCCCGCGCCAGCCGCCTGGGCTCTGCCACATTGTAGCCCCCAAATAAACACAGGAAGCTATATTAATTATGAAGCTGTTGGCCTTTGCTTGTTTCTTACTGGCTAGCTCTGACTTAAGTAATTACCCGATAATTGTTAATCTAAGTATGTCTCTTACCGGAGAATAGTTCCGGGCTCCTACCCCATGGCATTACATCTCGAACTCCCTGTGTTTCTCCTTCCCAGAGTTCTCCTGGACTCCTAGTCCCTCCTATCTTGGTTCCCTATAGGCTCAACAGTACTTTATTGACAAATGCACAGGACTTCCCCCAACAAAATGTGATATATCAAACATACGCATTTAATCCCAGCACTTGGGAGGCAGAGGCAAGCGGATATCTCTGTGAGTTTGAAACCAGCCTGGTCTACAGAGCGAGTTCCAGGACAGGCTCCAAAGCAATACAGAGAAACCCTGTGCTGAAAAAAACCAATAAACAAATAAATAAAATAAAAATGTGATTTATCACCAGCAGCAGACAGAACAAACTGCTCATTTCTTCTGAATAGCTCACAAAACTGATGAGGAATCATTAAATCAGGCCCCTCCTGCTGCTGTAACCATTCTGCAGATACTCCAGAGACAAAACTACTTACCAATGAAGCTTCTGTAATTCTTGTTCATTCCATTCCTCATCATCAATTAAACCAGGTAGACAGCGGCCTAACAGTTGCTGGCTCCTTGTATCAGACCCCTTAACTTCAACTGGAAAGTCCTTGCTAACACCAGATTTTGGAAGAGTTTCTTTAGCAGAAGATCTAAGTTTCTTTGATCTGATATGAGAACCAGTGTCACCTTTAGATTCTGAAACCAGTAGGATATCTGTTGTGATACTGCATGTGCTCTTTCTCTGGTCAGTCAGCCTTTCTTTGGTGTTTCTTGCTTTGGTTTTACTTCTAATCTCTATTTCATTCTCATCACTTGAAAAAAGTGGTGAGGACCGGCTGTACGATGATACGGCTACTTGATTTTCAGTTTTCTTCAATTTCGAGGGCAACTTAATATTCTTCTTAAAATCACTGGTGACCATTTGCTTATTTTTAGAACAAGGTATCTGAATTTTCTGTCTGACAGTCAGTATATCACATTCACTGCAATCTTCCTTGGGGTAGCTTTCATAACTCACATTGTGTTCAAAGGTCTCTGAGGACTTACAGGTAGAACTTACAGGTACATCTGACTCATTGAGTTCTTCAGGCTTTGGTTTGAAAAAATCTGATACTCCTCTGATACAGAGATTGTGCTCCATACATCTGCGCTCTATCACCTGTCTAGTTTTAAGTGGTGTAACTAAAACACACACTTCCTTCTGATTCTGAGGCAGGTATTTTCTGTCTTTGTCAGAGGTAGGCGGTTCTGGTGAATTCAGGGCATCAATGGGTACATTTAATACTTCAGTTCTCTCTTTTTTCATTGAACAAAACCAAACCAAAACCAAAATCTCTTAAGTACAGAAAAAAATACTTTTTCAAACCAAAACAATTTTCCCCATAGGTTACACAAAGCACTGGTCTATTTAGATCACTCCTACTTTCAAATGTAAGCATTTGGTTATTTACACAATCCTGCCAAGGCCTTTCCAGTTTACTGACATACATGTAAGCTTCTCTATCTGCCCTTCAATATACTTTCAATCGTTCACTGACCCTAAATAGAACTATTCTCTATGGGTATGAGAACACCCATTTTAAAAATCCCCTTGGGCCTGAACATTGTTCACTTTCCCTGAAAAATTTCCTTTACTTATATATAAGATGAACTACTACTTGCTTAGGTCTTTTCTTTTACCAACTGTATCCACAAACTGTCCCCACTCTTCAGACTAAAAGCTCTCCATCCATTTTCAGGATAATTTTTTAAAAGGGCATTTTGGTATCCTACTTTTAATTGTACACCAGTCATCTTTAGCTACATTAAGGAAATCATTAATGCCAGGACTTTATTTTCATAAATTGTTTTTTTTATTTTACTGATATTAACAGATAATAAACATGTTTTAATAATCAATTCTCAGAATTTTAAATAGGAGACAATAAGAAATCCATTAGGGTCACTAAACCTAAACAGGCATGTAAGATTAAAAAAAGTTGAATTAGTTAAGGATGCAATCAGGAAAATGTGAACTTTATGCATACGGGTAGCTCTCCTTTCACCTCCAACATAGCCAAAGCAGCACCTTTTTGCAAATTTCTCCCAATCTCCAAGAATTATCATGGGAAAAAACAAACTGCAGAACTTGGTATCTTTATTCTATCATCTTATAGGGGAAGAAAGCCAATGAGATCAGCTGTCTGATCTAAAAGCTGAGAAACCAGAAGTCATTCTACATAAAAGTTTAACTGTACTAAATTCTATTTATACTTAATTTGGTAGTTTGAACCAGAATGGTCACCATAGGCCACATGTTTGAGTGACTGGACTGTTTGGAAGGAGATGTGTCACTGAGGAGCAGACTTTGAGGTTTCAAAACCCCATGTCATTCCCAGATAGCTCTCTGTCTCATGCCTGAGGGTCATATGTGAACTCTTGGATACTGTTCCAGCACCATGCCTACCGAATGCCATGCTCCTTGCCATGACAGACATGGACTAAGCCTGAAACTAGAAAGAAGCCTCCCAATTACATGCTTCTTTCTATAAGTTGATGTGGTCATGGTTTTTTCACAGCAACAGTACTAAATCACCACACCATCATAACAAAATACTGCAAATATGTACACATATTATGCCATAAAAGATAGCAACAAAATAAACAGTTGACAGTAATGGTGGAGGAAACTGCAAAATTATAGTTTGCAGATAAGTTATTTGATTAGTACCACTATCCTAATAAAAAGAAACCAAAAATATTTCCACAAGACTTTTCATGAATATCATAGATTTACAAAGTATTTTCTTCCAATTTCTTACATAAATCAAATAAAGCAATCAGTTAGATCATTTCATTCTATTTAATAATCTCAATAAATAGCTGGGCAGTGGTGGTGCACGCCTTTAATCCCAGCACTTGGGAGACAGCGGCAGGCAGATCTCCGTGAGTTAGCCTACAGAGCGCCAGGAGAAGCTCCAAAGCTAACACAGTGAAACCGTCTCTCAAAAAAACCCAAATTAATAATAATAATAGTCTCAATTAATATTCAGCCTCTTTTTTTTTTTTTTTGGTTTTTCGAGACAGTTTCTTTGTGTAGCTTTGTAGACCAGGCTGGTTTTGAACTCACAGAGATCTGCCTGCCTCTGCCTCCCAGGTGCTGGAATCAGTGGTTTGCACCACCAACACCCTGCTCACTCAGTCTCTTTTAGGTACTTTAAATTGTTTAAATCTAGTAGCCTAGAAAGTACTGTATTCTTCCTTACTTTTATGAATTTTGATAGTTTCTCTTCATTCTCACTTCAGTTATAGTAAAATATACCACTAGGCCCATGAATTTATCATAACATGAAATCTTGAACTTGTTAGTTTTTATAGAAAAGGCACTTTTTGGTTGTGAGCCTAGCCTTTAACGGCTGAGCCACCTCTCCAGTCCAAGAAAAGGCACTTTAGATTTTGGTATACAAACCTCTAATTACTCTGAAATCAACCTTCATCAAACTTTAACTATGGCATTAATTTTATAACAGGAAACATTCATATGAGCAGATTTAAAGCAATATATAACTTTATGAGATAAAGTTACTTGGGGATCATTTTAAGGCAAACCTATAAATAATATCATATTTAAAATAACATGTTATTTCATTAAATAATCATTTTATGCACAAATAACTACTTTAAGCCATTAACATATTTACCATTTTACAATAAGAAACTTAAAAAGATCATTTATTATGCTAAAAATTATTTTAAACAGTTACTATTCTACTCATTACACAACTACCAAAGATATTACCTTGCTTCTGACTTCGAACTTCCTTTTCATTTATTCCTTCAGAATTCTCAAAGTTGTTTGAAGGAAATTTTCTGCAATCATTTTTTCCAGCTAATTCCTTCAAAATAAATAATGTACTTTTAACAACTACAATGTAGACATGATCTTGGGCATTTCCACAGCATACATCAAGTATTGAAAAATTTTAGGTACTTCCTACTCTACAAATTTCATTAATGGAGCATTCAGAAAGTCCTGTTGGAACTTAACTTTAGAAGTAGTACACAGGGTTACATGATCCTACAAAAGTCTTATTATTTGCAATTTTACTTTTTGAAAAATAAATATTTACTTTCTAATTTATGTGCATGTAACTGGGCACACGCTTTTAATCCCAGCACTTGGGAGGCAGAGGCAGGCGGATTTTTGTGAGTTTGAGACCAGCCTAGTCTACAAGAGCTAGTTCCAGGATAGCCTCCAAAGCCACAGAGAAATCCTGTCTCGAAAAACCAAAAAAAAGAACCAAACCAAACCAAAGCGTATGTATCTGAGTATAGGCCATATGTGTAAGAGTGTCTAAAGGAGGCCAGAAGAGGGCTTCAGATTCCCCGAAGCTGGACTTAACTGATAAAGGCTCACGGAAGTGAACTATGGCCCCCTGGGAAACAAGAAGCCCCCCTAACCACGAACTCGAGTGATGGAAGGACACTACCTTGTGCAAATCGTCTTCTGATACATGCTTGCTTGAGGTAGCACACATATGCCCTGCCTCCAAAGAAATGGATGTAATTTTTAAAACAAAATAAAATATTATACTATGGGAACTAAAGTTAAAGTTAACAGTTTTCTAAAATGCAACTGAGGCCTTTAAAGGAGAAAGACTTGACAAAATCTTACTGCCTAGACATGTGAACTGTGGTTATTTGACTGAAGGCAGCTTTAAAAGATAATGACATCATATCCAATCATTTAAGATGCATAAAGAAGTTATTGAAATTTTATCCTATGGACATTTTTGTAAGCTACATACTTAAAAAATTTAGGAGTACTGAGACAAACCAAGGGTATATCTCTCATACATTGCAAATACTCTATCAATGGAAGTATATGCCATCCTATGGTTTTTTTCTTTATTATTTATTAAACATGGTCAAAAACACCTGTTTAACTTCAACAGCAATTCCCTCAAAAAGCAGTTTTTGCTGCTCAATGTGAGCTTCTCCTTTCCTAAACTCTTAGACACTGGCTTAAAAAACTCTTGAGTCGCCGGGCGTTGGTGGCGCACGCCTTTAATCCCAGCACTCGGGAGGCAGAGGCAGGCGGATCTCTGTGAGTTTGAGACCAGCCTGGACTACCAAGCGAGTTCCAGGACAGCCTCCAAAGCCACAGAGAAACCCTGTCTCGGAAAAAAAAAAAAAAAAAAAAAAAAAAACTCTTGAGTCTATTTTCCTGAAACAAATCTTGGAATTTTTAAGATCTCAAATACAGTCCTTTTGACTTTTGTAGTTTCTGAGTTAGGACTGATCAATATAAATGATACTTAATCAAAAAGAAATTGTATCTTTTGATGCAGTCCTGAAACTTTTCAGGTACCGCATTATGTTCCTAAATATCAGTACCTTACCTAACTAAGTTATATATGCCATTATTTAAATAGTATTACTTACTTGGTTATGTAAGAGCCTTAATTGTGGTTTATTTTGACAATTATTATATCCAATGTTTATTTCTGCACCTCCTGGCAACCCATTGTGCTTATTTTTCTTCATTCCTGTGAATTTAAAGATCTAGGATTAAGTAATTACATAGAAGGTTCAGTGTTTTTCAGCAGATTATGATGTTCTGTGCCTGTATTGCCATCACCTTGGAGATTAAGATGGAGTGTTAGCAATATAAAAGACTACCTCAGGGAAAGAAGGGAGGGAGAGGGGAAAAGGAAGAAAAACAAGAGAGTGAGACAGAGGGAGAGGAAGGAAGGGGAAGAAAAGGGGATGGAGGAAAGGAAGGTAAGCTGCTTTTCCATATTAAAGAACTAACTACGGAAAGAAAAATCTGTGTAATGAAACGTCATATATATTCACTGTAATTTCAATATAATAAAATATTTTTTGTAGGACAGGCCACTCTCTGTAGGGTATGGTTTAGTTTAAATCCCTTTTATTTTCCTAAAATTAAAAAAAAGATCAATAATATTGTTTATATCTGCTTTGAATCTCTTATTATATCTAATAACAGAATAGTATAGCTAATTTTGTGAATTTACACTTATACATCCAAATTATACATCAACTAAATAGAAAGCTAATGATTGTTTTTCCTTTGTTTCTTTATATATGAAATTATGTGTCAGTTAATTTATATACTTCAATGTATAACTAAATCCACATTATTTTCAGCAAAATCAAATTTTATATTTTGTGTAGAACTTTCATTTTTTTCTCCATAGGAGTATCGTGACTCACACACAAACACTAATTCAAAATTAATTAACTAAAATAAGGACTTCGTTTAGCTGCTATTTTTGATTTTGTGGCTGGATTTTGTACTAGAGACCAGACTGACCTTGAACTCCAGATGTTCCTGATTCATTCTTCTAGGTGCTGGATTTAAAGGTATGTGCCAAAACATCTGGTCCTAAAGGTACTTTCTTACTCCTTTAGAAACTGCAAAGATGAGCCGGGCGGTGGTGGTGCACGCCTTTAATCCCAGCACTCAGGAGGCAGAGGCAGGCAGATCTCTGTGAGTTCGAGGCCGGGCTGGACCGACAGCCTCCAAAACAATACAGAGAAACCCTGTCTCGTAAAACCAAAAAAAAAAAAAAAAAAAAAAAAAAAAAAGAAAGAAACTGCAAAGATGCCAGGCAGTGGTGGCACACCCCTTTAATCCCAGCACTAGGGAGGCAGAGGCAGGCAGAGCTCTGTGAGTTCAAGGCTAGCCTGGTCTTCAAAGAGAGTTCCAGGACAGCCTCCAAAACTCTACAGAGAAACCCAGTGGAAAAAGAAAAAAGAAAAAAAGAAAGAAACTGTAAAGACACCCAACAGATGGCTCTGACCCGTCATATTACTATATAGTAAAGGAAGCTAATACTATAATAAATCCATAAGATGCTTATGTAAGTGCTATAAACGGTTTTTTAAACTACAATGGTTATAGTACTAAATATGGAAAATCACATAATTAAATTAGATAATTAATAATGTAAGAACATTATCATGGGTTGGCACATTTATTATAACCTTAGCTGTTTAATGTTAGGCACAGTTAAGGTTTTTTTCCATTTCATTTTTAATTATATGTATATATGTATATATGTCTGTATGTGGGTTTATGTATATGCAATGGCTTCAGAGGCCAGAAGAAGGTATTAGATTCCCTGGAGTTGGAGATACAGGCAGCTGTGAGCTGCTTGATGTAGGTGCCGGGAACTGACCTCAAATTCTTAGCAAGAACAGTTCATGCTCTTAGACACTGCGTAATCCCTCTGACCAGTTTTTCATTATTTTCTTGTAGAAAATGTAATAATAGCCAGGCGTTGGTGGTGCACACCTTTAATCCCAGCACTCGGGAGGCAGAGGCAGGCGGATCTCTGTGAGTTTGAGGCCAGCCTGGTCTAGAGCTAGTTCCAGGACAGCCTCCACAACAATACAGAGAAACCCTGTCTCGAAAAACAAAAAAAAAAAAGAAAAAAGAAAAAAAAGAAAATGTAATAATGTATTAGTAATACATCCCACTTAACACATGTTTTCTATAACATTTGTAAGCAATCATATTTACAACTCAGCTCTCTTTCCTAATAAAATAACTCAGGGTTATTTTTCATTTTGGAATTTAAGAAGGGGCGTGGGGTGGGGTGGACAATAGTAAGTAATATAGTCCCATGATTCCAGAAGACTTAAATGTTCTAGTAAAGTCAATAACCAACCTGCAAATCTTACAAAAAAAAAAAAAAGACTTTTGTAAAAAGGAAGGATTGAGAAAGATCTAAACTTTGGTAAGTGAATTTTTTGCAATAATTTACACATTTAAATTATTGCATTCTTTGAACTAAAAAGTTCGAGAAAGGGAGTTCCACTGACAACAACATTAGAGTGAGATGCAGTGTATTTATATCTAACATGATACCATACCTTTAGCAAAAATAATCTGCAATTCTCACAAGTTCTAAAATTGGGCACAGCCCTTAGCTACAAAGCGTAGGTAAAATTCCAAGAAATGTGCGTAACAGATTTCAGTTAATTTTTATCATCTGTATAATTGAAAGGACTGTAAGCTGCTTTTTATACATTATTTGTGAGAGTAGGGTGGTGTTAGATGTAGAGTATAATGTTAGAAAAGAGCTGACATAGAACAGTTCTGCCAACTATCTTAATGGCACTTGCCAGTCAAGAATATATGCCAGTCCCTCCACAAAAGCAAATACAGATACTTGTTGGCATCCTAAATATAATCTTTTATTGATCTGGGTTTTGGCATTGTGATTCAAGGTTTATACCATGAAATAAAAAGCAATAATGATGATGAGCAGCAGTCTGCAGAGTAGTGAAAAACCAGGAATTTCAAGGTACTATTTAGTCAAGGAGAATCACCCTACATATTATATACAACAAACGGTGTTAAGCTTATGTAAGACTCTACCACTGTAGCAACAAAGAAAAATTCAAACATACCCAAGTTATCATCAGTAAGGTCATAAGTGATGCTGGCCTTTTGGAGGACATCTGTCTGTTTATCTTCTGCATCGTTTTTCATTGGCTTTTGTTTTTTATGAAGTCTTACAGTTTTCTGATTGGTCTTATTCCTGTTCTTTATTCCAGCCCTAAAACAATTGTGTTATTTTTTTCTCTAATATTGGCTCTCAAAAAAACTGAAAACCTCAACCCACAAATAATAGAATGATTAAGGAGTTCAAGGCCTGTCTGGGCTACACACTGAGATTAACCTGTTACATGAGACCCTTTTCAAAACAAACAAGCATTTAAAAAAACAAAACAAAGCAAAACCAATTATTTAAGCAGATTGAAGAAAACTCTACAGGACAGGATTATAAAATATTACTGGGCAGTTGCCTATTTTTGTAAATAATGTTTACTGAAACACAGTCATGCTTATTCAATTTACATATGAATACGCTTTACTCTTGAAAAGACAGAGTTGATTGGTTGAGAAAAGAAGTTAACATGTCCAGAAAAATACCACCTGGCACTTTACAGGAAAAACAAGTTACCAATTCCTACTATAAGTTACTTGTGCTTCGATAAAATTTAAAGCTCTCTATCTCCTACTGGCTCCCAAAGAACAAGAATTAATAAAATTTTTCTCTCAATACCTGCTAAATACTTGTCAGATGACACTCAAAAACTATTGAAAATTAGTGGATAAAAAAATTAATCAAAAACTTCAGACCAATATTTGACAACTACACACCATTCAAAGGGTAAGTGATTGAAGAATTCTCCTTAAAATATGGCTAAGTTTTCATTCTTTTTGAATTTATTCAACATGACAGAAATTCCAATAAAACGTTATTTCTAAATCACCTACAATCATAAAAAAATCCAAAACTAGCATATCAACACAAAACCCAACAAATGAAAACCATTTTACATTGACTACAGAGGCGTATACATATGAAAAGGACTGTTATATTCTGTACCTCAAATGAGTACATGTTAGGGACCATAACTAACACCTTGATAAAGCTGATTTAAAAAAAAACATTAAGGACACTTTACCTTAATTGTTCAAGAAAATCATCAATGTGTTCCTTCCAATTTCGGGGGAATCCAAACATAAATTTTCTTATGAGATAACAGGGATACCCTATTTAGAATAAGAAAAATGAATACATAATTTTTAATTTAAGAAAAGAAAAAAATAAAATTATCCAAAAGCCTAGAATTTTAAAGAGCCATCTCTAATTCACTGTCAATCAATAAATGCATACTTGTTTTACTATATGCTAAGCAATGCTGGAGATACTGAGGACCCATCAGGTAAGCAAATAAAAATCCCACCACTACACATTTGATGTCTAGTATGTAAGAGAAAGCAAAGCCAGGAAGTAAAATTCATTGCTAGACTGGTATTTACAGAAAAAGTGGGTAAGCATTTTCATGGGAGAAAAGGGGAGGACAGCAATTTAAAAGGGGGTAGTCATAGAAATTCTACTGAAATAGGAAGCCAAGTTCTGGGAACCTGGGGGAACGAGTCATGTGGCAATATAAAATTAGAATATTAGAAACAGGAAAATGAAAGCATGTGACAAGAGGACAACTAGTCTGTGAACTAAGACTAGCAAAGCTGAACTGCCATGAGGTGTTAGTACTAGCCATTTATATAAAGGTAGTGGGGTGTGAGGGACATTACAAGGGTTAGGGCCAATTTATGAGCCTGGGTATTTATTTAAGAAAAAGAAGAAGCTATGGAAAGATTTAACTAATAATGATACGTATTTACCTGCTTCTTTCATGGAAATCTGGTCTATCAATCCTTTTAATATATAAATGTTGCCCGATAATGTCCTAAGTTCATTGTGTTTAATCCGCTCCACAATTATGTTACTATGCCAATAAACGTCAGTCATATCTCTATGGAAAAAAGGATAAGCTTAGTAAGGTCAACATATTTACACTTTACCAGAAACTGTATATACATCTAGAAGCATACAAATGTATAATAAAGTATAGTGATTTTGAGTTGGGTATATATAATCACAGTACTTGGTAAAAGCAGAAAGATCCAAGATCGAGGCCATGACAACTAGGGCTTTGTGGTGAGATGAAGTCAGATCACCCTTCCGAAAGAAAGTACTAATTTTGTACTTTCAGCTACTGCAACCATAACAGTATTACTAATCTAATTACAAAGCACTTGAGGGCTAGCCAGTACAGAACTCAACTGCTTGTCTAATGTGATCCTCAGAGTATATGCCAAGAAGTATATTATGGTCAATCAATCTATCTAATATAAAATGCAAGCCTTTAATCCCAGCATTTGGGAGGCAGAGGCAGGTGGATCCCTGTGAATTTGAGGCCAGTCTGGTCTACAAAGTGAGTGCCAGGAGAGGCTCCAAAGCTACACAGAGAAACCCTGTCTCGAAAAACCAAAAACAAACAAACAAACAGCATTAGCAAGGCAGCCTCTTTCCTCACATTTTTGTACTGTGTTGGCTTTTTTTTTTTTCTCCAGAAATGTTATTTTTACTTATTTAGATGAGGTCTTGCTTTTTTTTTTTTTCTTCACATTTTTATTTAGTGTACATTTGCCAATTCTAAGGGGTCAAGCAAGAAACAGCTTCTGGGGATCAGTTCTTTACTTCCAACATACTGGTCCCAGGGATGGAACAAAGATTGTACAAGCTGGCAGCAGGCATCTTTGCCCTCTGAGGCATCTTGCTGGATCCTGGGTCTTACCATGCTACCCAAGATAGCCTTGGCCTTCTACATCCTCCAAGTACTTGAGATTATAGATTACATGTGCACTCTCACTCCCTCCCTCCTGCTCCATGTTCTGAAATGCCAAGTAGATCATGTAATTTTGAGGCAATTTTTATCTTTTCTTAACCATAAATATAAAGGCAAATGTTTTTACCTTCCATTTTGTAAAAAAGTTTCTAGTTGAGAAAAAATACTAAAGTTGCAAATCATTGACCCAGAAATTTACTCTTCATACTTCTTTAAATGAAACTAACAATAAATATAAAATTAGAACCAAATATGAAGATCTATTAGATAAGTGGTGAGTAATAAACACATACATATATGAGTTATAAGGAAGTTCTCTCAATTGAATCAAGACATGGTTTCTCTAAATAGCCCTGGAGAACTATGTAGACCAGGCTGGCCTCAAACTCACACACAGCCTTTGCCTCTGGAGTATTGGGATTAAAGGATCGCACCACCATAGCCCACAGCTTCATTTAACATTTAAATCAAACGCTAAGAGGCACTTATCTTTAATAATGTAAATATTAACTCATTTAATTCTTGACACCACCTACAACAAAGCTGAGCACTAAGCATAAGGCAAAAGTTACCCTCAATGCATAGTAGTGCAAGGCCAACCTGGGCTATATGAGACTCTTAAAACAAGAAAAGCTTTCCACGGTGTTGGTCATATTATTATTACCAATGTACATTGGTAGTAAGCAGCACTAATAGAACTCACAAAGGCAATCTATGCTGCATCTTAGACATTCTGGAAAAGGGGATAAGGCAGTAAGATAGACAACTAGATTTTACATATCCAACCTTAGAAACCAGGATACTTCATTGTTTTACTATGGAGAAACTGAGTTAAACTCTACTTGCCTGACAATGCTTTTACTTCTGAGACAACCAGAGTATCAATTACTTAACATGTAACTACTTGACAGCTTTAAATAATTTTGATCCTTTGATGGTCAATAATTTACATCAGATAACTTGAGCAGTTCATAACATCAGGGAATGTATTTTGTACAAAGATGCTATTTGTCACTGATCACTTGCATAAAACCAACTTAAAAGTTAATAAGAGAACACTTAAATGTTATACTTACACCAGCTTTCCTTCTACGCATATAGCTGTATTATTATTGATGACTTTAATCATCCATTCCTGTAGCTTGACTGCCTAATCAAGCATAAAACAAAGAACTCATTTCTTGTGCTACTTGCAAACAGGATTATAAAATTAGCATTAAACATTAGAAAATCTGAAGTACAAGAAAAATCTTAATACCCTAGTTTTTTCTTACCCATCTATCTAAAAACCAGCCCATTTTAAACAGCAATTCTCTTTTGTTTGTTTTTTCGAGATAGGGTTTCTCTGTAAAACAGTTGTGGCCGTCCTGGAATTTGCTCTGTAGACCAGGCTGGCCTTGAATTCAGAGATCCACCTGCCTCTGCCTTCCAAGGACTGGGATTAAAGGCATGCGCTACCAATACCCAGCTTAAACAGCAATTCTTAAAACTTCCATACTGAATAAAAGAAAAAATAGAGACATTTAACTGAGATTGTATTATATATTTGCCTATAATACAGAAAGATCTACATTTCAAATACTCATATATAATGGCTTAGCCATAAGGGGGAAGAGAATCTTAACACGTTGAACCACCAAATGTTTTCGAAAACACAGCAACTTTATGGGAACAAAAAAATGTCAAATACAGTATTTACCTTGTCTCCAAAAAAAATTAGAGTATTAGCCGTTTTAGAGCTACATTTTCAGTTTCTATACACCATAAAGGTCACAGCTGGTAATAAATATTCAATACCATTCTATTCCAAAGCAAACAGCTGAATAACTCAGAAAATGTTTTTAGTGTAAGTAAAATGTCATTAAAATATAAAATTCTCTATGAACACTGATAATAAAAACATTTATAGTTAATAACAATTTAATAACATAAACAATTAAAGTGTTTCTGAATAGAACTAAAGCCAAAATTAATAGGATACTAATGAGTGCCAGTCACTTTAAATAAATGTATGAATTTATAAATAAAGGCAAGTTCCCCAGTGACTTTAAACTGAACCAGGAAAAGATGTTAAAATGGGTGGATGTTCTTTGGTATTGCATTTCTTAATCAATCTTTTAAAATATAGGTATTTGGGCATGTAGCTCAGTGACATGGCATAAGTCCCAAGGTTTGCTCTCCAGAACTGAAAAAGAATTAGAAGACTGGGATTAATGCTATTTTCACCACATTAGGATATGCCAGCAGGAAAGATGAGAGAGCTCCTTGGTGTGCATTAGATTCACTAGTTATGTTATCTTTACAACACTAGGAAGAAAGCACCATCTCCATTTTACAGAAAAAAAAAGATAAAGTATATCTAAATAATTTTCCTGTAATATATGACTAGTGGAATTGATGGGTTACAAGCCAAATTCTAGAATTTTGTGCTATACTACTTATTTAAAACATGCTGTCATTAAACATTTGAGCTATAGGCACTGCTCTAGATATTGGGGATTCAACAAGAAATAAGCCAGATGCCATTGTAGAGTAAACACGGCCTGTGTATGAGAGCATACTGGGAGGAAGTAGAAGCAAAAAGGAAGGAGATGGTGTTCAAACAAATATATACACAGTTACTATGAATAAGGAAAGCATACAGAGGTGCTTAAGACAGATAGTTAAGAAAGGTCTTGGAGAAGAGAACTGAATACAATAAATTAAAAGTCCACATGGCTTAGAAGATTTTTCTAATCAAAGAACAAGTTAAAAAGCCCTTAAATAGGTAGCAGGAAAAGCACAATTACTTGAAAGGGGTAAGCAAGAAGGAATATAAGTTTGGAGATTTCACTCCATTTTTTTTTTTTTTTTTTGGTTTTACAAGACAGGGTTTCTCTGTATTGTTTTGGAGGCTGTCGGTCCAGCCTGGCCTCGAACTCACAGCGATCCGCCTGCTTCTGCCTCCCAAGTGCTGGATTAAAGGCATGCGCCACCACCGCCCAGCTCACTCCATGATTAATGATGTGGAGAATGGTAAACTATGATGTGGGATAATGCTCTTGTTCACTCACACTGGTTTAATAAAACACTGGCCATTAGCCAGGCAGGTAGTACAAGTGGAGCAACCAGACTAGGAGAATTCTGGGAAGAGGAAAGGCAGAGATGCAGTCGCCAGTCAGATGCAGAGAAAGCGAGATAAGAATGCCATACTGAGAAAACGTACCAAGCCATGTGGCTAAACATAGATAAGAACTATGGATTAATTTAAGTTGTAAGAGTTTGTTAGTAATAAGCCTAAGCAACAAGCCAAACAGTTTATGTTAATACAAGCCTCTGTGTGTTTATTTGGGATTGAATGGCTACAGGACTGGGCAGGACAGAAACTTCCATCTACAAAACTGGAGTAAAGGCATAAGTTTCTCTTCTGTCACTAGAAGTTACTGGAAAAAGTGTTGAGAGCTAACATATAATGGTTGAAATGATGGACCACAGAAAATCTGCATGGGATGAAAAGAGCACATGTGACTGTAACAAACTAATGGCTGTCTTAGTGGCATCAGAATATTGAGCATAAGGTAGGTATAAAGATTAGTGAAGGGGGAATTATAATAACATGAAAAACGTCCTCATGATAATCCGGTACATATGCTAGCAATAATGAGATATGAATAGGGCTCAAGTAGACGACAAATGTAGAAGAGGAATCATTAAAGAAACAGAAATCGATGGGTGGCAATGCACATAATCCCAGCAGAAGCAGCTGGATCTCTGAGTTGGAGACCAGCCTGGTCTACAAAGCAAGCTCCAGAACAGCCAGGACTGCTACATAGAGAAACCCCATCTTGAAAACCCAAAAAGAAAAGGAAAGAGAGAGAGAGAGAAATGAAAAAGAAATCGAGGTTGTTTATATAATGCCCATTATACAGCAAGTAAAAAGTTCATAGAACATAGATAACAGTATTGATGATTTACATATATATTTATTTATTATGTATACAGCGTTCTGCCTGCATGTATGCGTGCAAGCCATAAAGAGGGCACCAGATCTCATTATAGATGATTATAAGCCACCATGTGGCTGCTGGGAATTGAACTCAGGACCTCCAGAAGAACAGACAGTGCCCTTAACCTCTGAACCATCTCTCCAGCCCGAAAATTCTCAACTCTTTGCTGTTTAAATTCTTTTCTATTGCAAATGTTATTAGTAATACCTCAAAAGTGCCAGGTGGTGGTGGTGCACGCCTTTAATCCCAGCACTCGGGAGGCAGAGGCAGGCGGATCTCTGTGAGTTTGAGGCCGGGCTGGACAGATAGCCTCCAAAACAATACAGAGAAACCCTGTCTCGTAAAAACAAACAAAAAAACAAAACAAAACAAAAAAAATGGCCGGGCGTTGGTGGCGCACGCCTTTAATCCCAGCACTTGGGAGGCAGAGGCAGGCGGATCTCTGTTGAGTTCGAGGCCAGCCTGGTCTACAGAGTGAGTTCCAGGACAGCTTCCAAAACAATACAGAGAAACCCTGTCTCGAAAAACCAAAAAAAAAAAAAAAAAAAAAAAAACCACCTCAAAAGTTAGAAAAATAGAAGTAGGAGCAACGTGAGCATTCATATATTACAGGCATAAGTGAATTGCTGATATTTACAACTAATAATAGAGCAAGACAAGAATAATCACTGAGTCACCTTTCTTTCAACCCATTCATCCTTTCACTAGGATCATAGTTGTTACAGTTAATAATAAAACAAAAAAAAAACATAATGAGAGTTTAGATGAAGGAAAAATAAAAATAGAAATAAATACCTGACTTAAATGTCTTCCTACCTGGTATTGTTTAACTTCACTTACAATAGTTGCAAGCTTCGAAACCTTCCTTTGAGACCGGCCAAATACTGTTAGATTAGGTCTTGAATTTGCAGGCATAATTTCACAGGTATCTTGCATGGAATTTTGATGAACAGTCCTGCTAGAACCTGTTTCTTCATTTTGTTTTAAAATATCCTCTTTTGCAGTTCCTTCTGTTAACATGTCACTGTCAGAAGTCATCAACTGACTATGATTCTTAATAGGAACACAATTAGTACTAACAGTCTTAACAGTATTTTCAAACTTTTCATAAGTAGAATCAATGTCTTCCAAAACAAATGTGTCCTTTTGGGGCGCAGTGGTTTTAACAGTATTCACCTTTGAATGAAGAAGTTGTCTAGCAAACTGAGCTCTAGTTAATGCCCTGCTTGAAATGCTTGAAGCTGTAACATTTTTTTGTTCTTGGTTCAAAACTGGAAGCTCTGCCAAAAATACAAAAAATAAAATTTATAGAAAGGCCCTATGGAAATAAAAGTTGTTTTAAACTACTTATATTAAAAATACATTAGATTAGGAGTGCTCAATCTAAGTGTCTGTAGTTTTTGTTTTGTTTCTTCTTCTTCCGAAGCAGGGTTTCTCAACAGGCCTGGCACTCGCTCTGTAGTTCAGAGATCTGCCTACTTCCCAAGTGCTGGGATTAAAGGTATGAACTACCACCACCACCTGGTTTTGTTTTTTTAAGACAGTCTTTCTATGCATCCCTGGTTATCCAGGAACTCGATAGGTAGACCAGGCTAGCACCAAACCTACCTCTGCCTTCTGAGGACTGAGGCATGTATCACCACACCCATTTATTATAATTCAAGGTTCAGAGTTAGTTCTTACTGCCCACTGGTAACTACCTAGAATATTTAACAATAACTGGAGGTGGGGACAAAACTGACAAGCATTAAACAAACAACACACAAGATTTAGCATAACTTCAATTGTGCCTTTTTACTTTCTTTTCCTGCTGGTGTTGAATCTTTTGTTTCTGGGTGTCATGATTTGAATAAGAATGCCCCTCATTGCTGCCCCAAGCTCATATAGTTGAATGTTAAGTCACCATTTTAGGCACTATTTGAAAGGATTAGAAGGTATAACATTGGTGTGTGTGGTGGTTTGAATAATAGTGCCCCAGTCTGCCTGTGGATCAAGATGTAGATCTCAGCTACCACCCCAGAGCCTGCCTTCATGCCATCATGCTTTCCCTGTCATGATACTGGACTAAGCCTCTGAAACTGTAAACAAGCTCCCCATTAAATGCTTTCTTTTCTAACAGTTGCTGTGGTCATGGTGTCGCTTCATAACAATAGAGCAGTGCCTAAGACAGTGGACATGATGCTTGATGATTCCAGAGGAACTGCTTATAGGTTGGCACTTTAGAAAGAGAAACAGAGAAAGTCTTCAAACTTTAGAAGGCATTTGAGTCAGTAACAATCGCTCCTTGTCTTCACTTCACTCTCTATACTTACATTATACTGAGGGGAAAAGAGCAAACTCCAAATTACAATTTGCCTTTTCAAGACAAAAGCATACTATTAAGCCTCTGTAAACAGTCTTTGGCCCTGATTCCTCCTTGTACATGCAGAACCAAAGTCTCACATGGAGCTATCTTTACTGAAATTTTGGGTTAGCAACACATTCCACACTACAGTGTACCAAAGGATGTCAGGGCCCTATGGAGCTCCTTCTCAGGTGGTCCTAGGGGCATGGACAATTCACAAGTTCTAACCCACCATTTAAAATTCAAAATATGAAACCTAGTTGCAAATCCCTTTGACTGTTTTAATGGTAGGGTCTCATATAGTCTAAATTGTCCTCAAGTCTGAAAGCCTCATGAACACTGGAATATATCAATCACCATGCCCAGCTTTTGACACAAGTTTTAGGCCTTCAAAGAAATAAAAGTCTGTCAACTAGACAAATATGGACTAATAGTACTATTTCCATTTTATTCTGATTTGTATTTTAAATCTTTACATTTAGTGCATTTTTGAATACAGAAGTGAGTTTTTCATACATAAAAGGGATAATACTTAAAAATTTGTGCCAAAGAAGAAAAAGATCATTTTATATGTGCACATTTGGACAAAGAGTCATCAGAATCTCAAATAAGAACCTCATCTGCTCACAAATCCTATCTCTGACTCATATATGCTCTCTTATTCACACACACATATACAGAGTATGCACATACATATGTACATATACATGTTATATATGCATATATATCATGCTACATTATTTCATTTTCCCTTTTTATACTCCCACTTCCTATAAGAAATATTGTTTTGTATATTCTTTGATCTGTACCCCAAATTGTCTTATAGTTGTTAGGCCTGGTAGCACATACCTGCTGTTTAGCACTTAAAGGCTAAGATAGGAGTCTCTCAAGTTCAGGTTGGCCTGGCTTGCATAGCAAGACCTTCTCAAAACAAAACCTCCACAACGCTAGTTAGTGGCAGTGCTTGTATAATATACTTGAGGCTTCACACTTAATTCCCAGTATAAGAAAGGAAGGGAGGGAAGGAGAGAAAGAGAGGAGGAAGGAAGGAGGGAGGGAGGGAAGGAAGGAAGGGAGGAAGGAAGGAAGGAAGGAAGGAAGGAAGGAAGGAAGGAAGGAAGGAAGGAAGGAAGGGAAAGAGAGGAGGAAAGAAGAAAGATTTCCATTTTTCATGTCTTACCACTTGTCTATTTTTCCAGACCAGGCTATGTTATCAACAATTATCCATATCATACGACATAGCCCCACCTCCATGGTGTTTCTGTGTAACTGACTTTCTTATCTATCATGTCCTCTTGAGCTGCCTCTTCATCCATGATGCACTAAACTCACAGCTAGTCTCTGAGTTAGGTTAGGTTAGTTGTTCGGATATGCATCTGTTACCTCACAAACTTTTGCTCCTAAAATCTCATCTTCTCATTGAGGCTTATTCCAACACAGCACACCTTTCACTTATACCCATCGTCTTTACACTTTTGTTATTGTCTTTTGGAGACAAGATCTCACTATATAGCCCAGTAGTCCAGGCTAGTACTGACACAAAGCATTGCTCCAGACAGCCTCTTTAAAGAATTTATCATCATGCCTGGCAACTTTTTCCCCCCTCTTCAATTATACCACAAAAATTACTTTTAAAGTTCTCCAGACATTTTGGTATTTTCTTCATTATGATCTCCCAAGAACTTAAAAGTGTCTGACACACTAAACAGATAAAAAGACATTGTAGCTTTTTAAATCCATGAATAATTAAACTAACCTCCTAATGAAGTATTATTGGATTGGAATGATTCTTTTTTTTCCTCACAGAGGTAGGTTTGTTGCAACTGAATTTTCTTATCTCTGTCAGAAGTAAAGACTTTATGTTCACATTTTGGTGATCCCAACATATTACTGCTCCTTGATGCTTGTTCTTGTTTGTCATGTTGTACTTTTTCTTTCATTCGTTGAAAGATTTTTCCTGGTGTTTCACAGTTTGTTTCACTTCTTAATCCATTCACACTGGGCTTTATAGCACTGACATCAAGATAGCTGTTTAAAGGAGCAGCCTCTGAGAGCATGGTGGATTGAAATATATTTTTATTGTTAGAAGTTGCCGTTTCTAATAACTGATTCTTTTTATAGCCATTCAACTTCAGAGACGACTTTTGATATTTCACCAAATCTTTTATAGGAGTAAGTGTGCCTGAAGGGATGCTGTCAATAAAGACTGCATCTACAGGCATATTTCTTCTTGGAGATATCCCAGAAGACAAATGAATTTCTGAATGTTTCAAAGGTGTTGCAATCATCTTGATAAGACAGTGACAACAAAATCCTTTTGATAGAAAATTCAATCAACACAAGTTTCCAGGCAGAACTTCAACAGGACTCAAGAGAAACCTGTAATAAAAACATTTTTTAAATCATTATTTGGTGATTTTTAAGTTTACAGATTTTCTGTAACAACATTATACCACTAAAAAGGTTTAACTGGTTCTTACCAACACTAGATAATTTATACATCACAAAAATTCAATGTTTTTATTAAATTACAATTTCATTCTTTTTCAAGAGAAAAGCAGTTTGGCATTCAAAAAGGAAACCATTCAACAAGTAACCTAGCTATTATCCCTAAATTGTAACTTATAAATATCCATTTTTGAAATTTACCTGACAGCTATGGGAATGTGTTCCTTTAAGGGGTTTAGAGCCACCCAGGATGAGGTTTCCTGTACACTTTTGATTCTGATGCTAGAGCTGTACCCCAGGACAGGTATACATTCTATGGCAGCAGTGAAATGTATTCAAACATCAAGTCTTTCAGGTTCCAATCTAGTATTTGCATAGAATAACATTTCCATTAGGTACTACATTAGACTACAAAAAACAACAACAAAAAAGTTAACAAATATGCTTCCCTTTATGCACTTAGGCATGGCTACAATGATCCTAATGTATGCTGATATTCGAATCTAATTATTTAAATAGCCTGGTTCTACTATGCTTCAGAATATTTAAATTATAAGATTTTAGTTCAAAAATTCAAAAAAAAGAAGTAATTTGAGTGTATCAAAATCCTTTAAATGTATTGCTATTTAGAAGTTTTGAAATTTATTTAAATATAAATGGCCTTAAACTTGTTTTTTCTTTCTTTCTTTTTTTTTTTTTTAGACATTCTTGCATTATAGTCCAGACTGGTATCAACCTTGAAGTCTTCCTGCCCCAGTCATCTTGGTGCTGGGATTACGCACGTATTACCACACTGTTTTTTTTTTCCCCTCACATGTAAATCGTATTTTCCATAACTAGAACTAAAAATTCCAAGTATAAAACTATATATTGCATTAACACTTACAAATTAATATTTCACTCCTAGGTGCCTGGTGCTATGGTGGAAGCCTCACCCCAGACCCTGGCATCCATAAACCCAAAGAGTCTGAAATGTTAAGCCCCCTCTGTTATCTCTCGAAATCCTGCTGTATCTCAGAAAGTTGACAATGACTACCCCTCCCCCACAGATGCTAAAGACTACTCCCATAGGGTCTTTAAACTGCCCCCCACCCTGGAAAAATAGATGTGTCATTTTCCGGTCTCTTTTTCCCATCCCTCTCTGGGGGGCTGGAAGGCCACCTGGGAGAGTTGTATTCACTAAATATGGGCTTTTTCTAATTCAGTTTGATTTGGTCTGATTTGGATTGCTGCATTGAGATGCCTATCTGGGTATAGAAACTTTTCACCTGGAACTTACCAATCAAGATTTATAGCATGTCTTACTATTGATTTATAACAATTCTAATAACTTTTTACATCATCTAAATGGAAAAGACTTATTATGGAAAATATTAACACATATGGGTGTCTAGTGACACATACCCCATATTCTAGCACTCAGGAGGCTGAAACTAAACAGGAAGTTCAAAGTCAGCCTGGGCTATGAAACCTTGTCTCAAAAAATAGAAAAATAATTACTAAAGCAACTAGATCAAAGGATATCATTTTCTTTTTCAAAAAATGAATAAGTGGATGGTTGGTGGTGGCATGGTCTTTAATCCCAGCACTCGGTAGGCAGAGGCAGGTGGATTTCTGTTGAGGCCAGCCTGGTCTACATAGGGAGTTCCAGGACAGCCTCCAAAGACACAGAGAACCCCACTCCCTATCCCCGGAGATGTATTCATGAATAAGCAACTTGAATATCCATATAGAAAATCTTACTTTATGTAATAATTTATTTTTTTTTCTTTTGTTCTGTTTTTGAGACAGGGTTTCTATGTGTCTGGGTACTTGCTCTTTAGACCATGCAGGTCTCAAACTCTGCCTCCTAGTACAGGGACTAAAGGTCTGCACCACCACACAATGCTACTTGAAGTCTTTTCCAACAGTTGACAAACATGAATCTTGTAAGTCTGGCCCTGTGACAAAAAAGAACAAAAAAAAAACTTGTAATTTTCTCACAAATTTTAGCTCAACAACTATGTATTGATACACTTTATTCATTATTTTAGCACTGCTAGAGATTAAATCTAGGGCCTCAGGCATGCTAGGCATATAACCACTGAGCTACAGCCCCAGCACTCAATAGATGTATATTCATCAGGTGGGCAGTGATGGGAGTTAGTAATATCCACTAACACTATCAAAAAAAAATCCTATACTTTCTCAAAAATAAAAATGAATAGACTACACAATCTCAGGGGAAATTGGAAAGTATGGTCAAATTGACCTAATCTCAGTTCCTGGTCTGATAAACTGCTTCACAAAACAAACTGAAAACAAGCCCAATCTGTACCAATAGACAGCAACTTCAAGGTGGGAAAAAAAGTTAGCCTCAGGCTCAGGTCTATGGGCTATTGGCACAGCAGGAGGATCGAAGTTCCAGGCCTCCAAGGGGGCTAAAGAGCCAAGTCAACAAACAACAGAACCTTTCAAAAGAAAAGGTAAACTTCAGGCTACAGCTGGCAGATGCTTGCAGCCTACCTAGCCTGGATGGCTCTAGGCTCAGACACTTAGTGCAATAACAATAAGCAACTCACATGTCAGGGTGACTACAAGGAACAAGGCTTAAATGTCATTGTGTGCAAAAAGAGACAGGTCTCAGAAACAAGCCCCCAGACAGGCCAAGCTCAGGTGCAAGCCTAGCCCAGGGCAGGGCCGACATGCTAATGAACTCCAAGATGCTGCTGACACCCCAGTGGACTAACCGCAAGCCGTGAGCCCTAAGAGGGCAAAACTATCACCCAACGAAAGGTTACGAAAGCTACACTTCTTGAATGGTGTGTAGGGGTCACTGCCAGGCTCTAGCCTCTGTGTTGATACCCACAGGCAAGAGGACTTGGGACCCTGGCCGCCACAGTGAACTTCAGGCACTGTCGCTGGACTCACACAGACCTGTCAAGTCAAAGTTCTATGCTCTCAAGGGCCTCCTGGGACTTCCACCAATGCAATCCCCCCAGCCTGCTACAGCTGAAGATTTTCACAATGTATGTGGGTTCAGCCCGCACACTTCCAGAAGCATCATTGCCACAAAAGATCCCCCAGTGGAACCCTGCAGAAGCATTTCTGCCCAAACAACTGTTCCCGGCTTGGTGAGATGTCTGTTAATTTTTATATTATCATATCATTAAGAAATGTCTGTGTGACTAAACTGAGCATATGAGAAAGACAAATCTTCCATGGACATTCTAAGTTCGCCTTACTGACTTTATTTAGCCCGTGTTCTCCCCATGACAACTCATTTATAAAATTCAATTCAATGTACTCAACAGCAAAAACAATATAAGTAGCGACATTAAAAATTTTCCAACATTTAAAGGCAAAACAGAACTTATAACCACATTAAAAAACAAAACAAAACAAAACCACACGCTTACGAGCATAAACACGTTAAGAAACCCGTAAAACAACAACGACAAAACAGGCCAGCCCCGAAAACATGTATACAGGCAACATCACATGGCCCCAACAGGTTATATCTAGGGATATACATACACACACACATGCATATACACATAAGCATGCAAATGTTATTGGCGAAAAAGGAACCACTGAATTTCGAGGTTTTTCTAGGGACTTGTATGTATATAAAGATATGCATGCAAACTGCTATTGGCGGAAAAGGAACCAATGAATCTCAAAGAGAGTAGGAGGTGTGTGTTAGGGAGGGCTCGGAGGGAGTAAAGGGAAGGGAGAAATGCAATTAAATTACAGCCTCAAAAATAGACAGCGAGCAGCAGCAAAAGCACCTGGCTGTCATCAGCGTCTTCCTTTAAGGGTAGAATCCGGACACCCTCCACGTTTCCAGCAGTTTCCCTAAAGATGCCTGCGCCGAGCACGGCATTTAATCCTAAGAAGGCGTAGCCGGGGAGGTGTCTGCGAGTGCTGTACCTCCCGGACACCCCTGACTCGAGGACAAACGTGGCGAGCGCCCCGGCAGCGGGGTCAGCGCGCGGCAGGGCCGACACTGCGCGATCGCGACCGCGGAGGAACCGGGCGCCTCGTCCCGGGCGGGGGACGGGAGCGGACCTACCTCGGGGAAGGCAGCGGCGCGAAGCCGAGGCGACCGCTCGGCTCCCAGCGCCCCCAGGGCTCGCGGCGCCCCCGGACGCCCGGGCGGGGCGACGCGCGCGACCGCGGAGACTCAGACTCGGGCTACGCTCCCCTCAGGTGACCGCTTCCCGGCAGCGGACGGCAGCGCTGGATTTCAAATCCCAAGAACCCGCCCCCCGGCGCGCCGGATTGGTACGCTCAGCAACGGCGTCAGCGAGCGTCTTCCGCGCACTCCCGGAAACAGGGAGGCACGCCCTCGCGTCCCGGCGGCCGCAGCCCACGGCGCGTGATCCCGAGCGCCGCCGCGGCGACACGTGGAGGTTGTTTCTCTCCACAGGACCGGCGCTCAGCCGCGCCTGCCGCTCCTCCCGTGATGCTCTGCGCAGCGAAGGGGGACAACGGCAGCTGACGCCCGGCGCGCTCGCTGCGCCGCGGGAGTTGACTAAGTTTGACCCTTCCGGGCCTCAGTTGTCAGTCTCCGGGCTGCGCTCGCGGCGGGTTTCCTTCTCGGTCCAGTCCGCTTAGTGGGTTTGAAGGGATTTTTCTTTCAATTCGCCAGCCTTTTTTCTTTAAAACAAACAAACAATTGTTCTCAGGAAGTAGACTGAACGTAAAGTTTATATTCGCATTGTAGCGTTTAATTTGAATCGCCCCGGCCGGAAATGCAATTTTCTCTTCTTTCGAAGCATCTAAACACCTTGGTAGAGCAGAACACTTTTCTCGATGGGCATCGGTTGCAGCGCTTTTCGTGGCCGGGGTCCCTAAAGTGCGCTTTACCTCTTGGTAGCACACGCCTGTGACCCCAACGCTGGAGGGCTGAGGCAGGAGGATGGAGAATTGGACAACGGCCTGCAATACATAGTGATTCGCTGCCCTAATTTGGAGTGGGGGGGCGGGGGATCAATAATTTAACATTAAAAGTAGGAGTGAGGGCTGGAGAGATGGCTCAGAGGTTAAGAGCACTGGCTGCTGCTCTTCCAGAGGTCCTGAGTTCAATTCCCAGCACCCACATGGTGGCTCACAGCCATCTGTAATGAGATCTGGTGCCCTCTTCTGTCCTGCAGGGATACATGGAGGCAAGATCTTGTATTCATAAGAGTAGGAGTGAGCCGGAATGACAATGTACCTCTCTGGTCCCAGCTACTCTAGTGGCTTCTTTTTCTATTTTTAAAAGATTTGTTTTGTGTGTATGAATTCCTGCATTTATGTATGTGTACCGCGTGCCCACGGAAGCCAGAAAAAAAATGTTGACTCCCCTGGAACTGGTTTAC